CTGATTACATATAGCCATGAACTTGTTTTAACCGACCTTCTTTGTGACCTAACATTGTAAAAATCTCGCAAAAGTTTTTTTTCTCCTTAATTTTTGATAACATTACAAAGACAACTCTAAAGACAATTCGTATAGGTGCGGCCATTGTGATAAGTTACTAAGAAATCTTTGCCTGGCACTTGATTTTGTGTTTAAGATAAATATTGCTCAGTAAGCTACCATTACTAATTCTAGCACTTCGCGGATACAGGTATATCTACGAAAATAAATTCCCATGAAAATTAATGATTAAACAGTACTTTGATTGTCCATGTAGAATATGATATCAATTTTTATCTATAGGGTCTTAAGTTAAGTGTTGGTTGGTTTTAACCTTTAAAAAGACTAAGATTGTTTGTGTTTAGATATGACTCTGCTCCAGGCAACCGAGACCGGTGTCCGTTATAGCTAGATGGCGTTTAATCTAGGTCCAGTTACTCTGCACTTGGACCAGACACTATTATTATTCATACACAGACAAGTTTTCTTTACAAATGGATTTTACCACATGTCTGATACATGCTTGTATACTTGCTTTAATATGCGTTTTAACCAATATAAATAAATAATATAAATAAAACGCAAAATAAATAATCAAATAATAGTAATTAATGTTTTTTTTTTCGAGATATTTTCGTGCATCGTGTAATCTGAACGTCCTGTATTGGTGACTCTATTGACTCAGAATGGCTACATTAATCATACCACCCACATTTCATTATGAATGTATTATCCGTGTCAAATTATGTGATAAATATTTTTCCAGCTTGACGCTTGCGTTATTTCAGTAGTATTTTTTTTCTTTCTTTTTTTTTTCTTTTTCTTACTTTTTAACATGGATACAATAAAAGTACACGTGTACTGTATGGAAACTACTGTATATACGATTGTATCGTTTCGGGAAATAACCTTACATCCGGCTAATTGTCCATCGTGGTGTCGAGTCATGGAAAGAGAGGCTAATGCATTCGGTCATAGTCGTAAACAAATTGCTATAATCATTGTCATGCACTTAGTACCGACGTACGCCCAATGTAATATCTACGGTCAAGTCCGCGTACAAAAGAAATTCCACTGAGGAATCAATTTCTTGTTTTCCTGTTGTTTAACATTGTATATGCATATTGTTTATTGTTTACAGCCATATAAAGTATATCAGATAAAGTTTCCGTCTCTACATAAACATCTTTGGGGGTTATTAGTACCTAATAAAAATAAGATCACTTGACATTAACAGGGCTTTTCTGACAGGTGACATCACAGATCGTAAAATTTAATGTCGTATAATTCTGTCATGAATATTCTCATCAAAGAACTATATATTCTAATAATAACTTATAAAGGCAAATGACATCTAACAATGCCTTTCACTTAAGAAACAAAAGCTAAATGACGTGTTTGGAAATGAATCGTCTTCTTTCTCCAAATGTTCTTACGTATGTATTTTACATGTACAACATACGTATATCAATATGCTAAAATTTACTGTGACGTACATGTATATTAAATTAATGATCAATTTCAAAGTGTGACGATATCGCTGATGTTTAGAAGATTATACTTTGGCTGTTGACAAATTCCTTTCTTCTAAAAACAAATTTCCATTGCTTTCCTTTGGAATAAAAAAAAACAAATATGATTATAACACGTTGTAAATGAAGTTTTAGAAACAAATTGTTTTACATTGAGAAGTTAGACAACTGAATGCATCTGACATTTTGTACAAATTATCCTTTCATATTTAGATGTTGCGAACTTAATTGAATCATCTATTTTATCTTTAGTTTGTATTTTTGCTTTAGGTTAGCATATTCTTTCCTTCGACTAAAAGAAAGTGTCATTTTGTAATAAAACTATCCTAGTCATCTTATTTCGATCGACACCTGTACATGGTTTTATCGACCTCAGCAAAAAAAAGATATCGGACTTCGACCTCGGTGGATAGTTTTTTCTGTGGTTAATGATACCATTTGGTAACCTTATCACAAAATTGTGCGAATTTTTTTCAGTCGCAGATCTTTAGCTCAAATGAAGATGAAACGACAGAATAAATGACTCGAAGAAAATTGTAGGACACTCAAAAAATGAAGCGATATACGTTTTTATATGTACAATGGTGTAGAAAACGACAGCAAACTTAACAAACACACACACATCATATCAAGTTTACGTTATTGTAATATTTGGCTTACATTATTAAAAATCTAGTTTTATTTCCGTTTTCTAATAGTAACGTCCATTTATGATTAATCACAAAAAACAAAACGCCCAAGACCGTTTTACAGTTGTGTTTATTACATGAAATGAGATGTGAAAATAGAAAATAAAAACATAACAAAATATTAGAATATTGAATTTACTTTCATAAATTTGTAATGCAAATGTGCTGACATAAGCAATGTCAACGCCTTATTAAAATTTAATTTTGCAAACTTGAAAAATACTTTTAATTAATTGCTGACTTAGCCTTTTATTAATTACTGCAATAAATTAGAATTTGGGCAGAAGACCGTGCCTGCTAAATAGTGTTATAATTGATTAACACATCCAATTACCTGCCCAGAGGCCGCTACACTGTACCTATGTCATTTACACCGAACTGTCAGGTAATTAACTACAGGTATATAGGGATATCACAAACACAAACTGCAGTATGATGACTGATAAAGCTTTCAAATGAATGGCGTTTCACGGTGTTGTGCCGAACAGAAAGTCTGTATTTCAACACGGATGTGTTTTGTAAATTAAGCAATTAAGCGTGTACACCTTGCTAATGACAACCCACGATAAGGTTGTGATCGTGTCTAATCTAGAAACAATGTATGTTATCTACAGATAATAATTGTTGTCACCACGGATATACGTGTTCTGTAAAATATACAGAAAACAAACAACTGATCGCCGTCATAATGTCTGTCTATCACGATTGTAAGATGTATGTAACATCATGAAAAAATTGGAACACAATGATGTGGAGACGATTGTCGACAAATCTTGAATAAAAAACAATTTAGCTCTACATTTGATAACATTGGCACAGTTTCACTTTTTGCTGTAAGATGACAATGCAGTACTACTGAACACTAGATGCAGCTTCATAGGTAAAATAACAATTAAAAATTGATTTCAAAAATGAGATTGTAGCGCGTAATCATTGGATGGCTGGCGATTCAAATCATCCTACGCCCGAGACCATCGTCCACCCGTTGTCCATCGTCCACCCGTGATCCATCGTCCACCCGTTGTACATCGTCCATCCGTGGTCCATCGTCCATCCGTTGTCCATCGTCCACCAGTTGTCCATCGTCCACCTGTTGTCCATCGTCCACCCGTGGTCCATCGTCCACCCGTTGTCCATCGTCCACCCGTGGTTCATCGTCCGCCCGCGTACCATCGTCCACCCGTGATCCATCGTCCACCCGTTGTTCATCGTCCATCCGTTGTCCATTTTCCACCTGTGGTCCATCGTAAACATTTCTTGTAATATTTTCTTAAACTTCAAATGAAGGTTTTTCTTCTCTCCTATTAGGTCTCATTTGATTTTGATACTGATCGGTAAAAAAAAACTTGACCGATAGGCGACCATCTTTAATTTGATAGTTTAAATTTTCTATCGCCGTTTCCCAAAAAACTTTTCAAATTCTATTCATATATAGTGCAATTAAGAAAAAAATAGAGAAAAAGAAAAGGCAAAATATCATAAGATACAAATACAAAAAATGATGGGCGCGATCATTTCTTGGATCTCTTCTCTTGTTTGAAAAATGTTTTTATATACACTAAATTATCTTACATGAGTTCTTTTACAAGGATTTAAAGTTAAAGATAAATAGCAAGTTTTTTTTTAACTGCATTAAAAAAAATGTCTGTCATTCCGTTTATACCACACAAAGCTACTCCTTTGAATGAAATGCCCATTTAAATATGAATTAATACTGATACGCACACAGTAATCTTTATGGTTAACGGTTCCTTTCCGTGAAGAGATCTCCTCGTGTCTGGGTTATTAACCACACCGGTTTTAATTGGAAAATCCACCACCTCCGCCTTGTCAGGTAATATTACATATATATTACGAGATAAAGTTCATGACGAATACTCTTTTATGATACATACGGAAATAGAATAACACAAATGACGCATTTTTCTGTGCAATTGTAGTATCTGTATTTATCCAATCTATACAGAACAACCCGCAAAGACTCCAGACATGAACATGGCCTTTTTGCCTGAGGGCAGTTGTCATAAATAACATCTCTGACAAATATGTGCCAAAATATCGTAGAGCCTGCCATAAAACCTTGGTGTATTCACAGCCACGCTATACCTGCTGTCAGATGGAGGGTTAGAACTGCTCGCTCAAGGTCCTGGTTTTGTCTTTCAGAGAATGTATATTGTAAAAGATATACAGCTCTGGACATGCTCGTGGCAAAGGGCTCCACATAATAATGCTTAAGAGCCATTTCGTTTTTGGAAATTTTTTGAAATTTGCCTGTTCTGGACAAAAATGGATGGATATATACCTGCATGACATTTTGATATAAAACGATGGTAAGGTCATTACGTTTTCTTTTGTAATTTAATTCATTAAGGCTGAATTCGTTATTGTACAAATCGAAATTTCAGGAGATCTGTTTCAATGAAAGATCCTAAAAAATGGATATAACATTCTATCAAGAATACAATTTATCTAAAAAGAGATAGAAATGATACCTCTTTTATTGTGCATAACAAATACATCATTAATGTGTCGTATTTAATTTCAATTATTCAGATGAAAATATATGTTTGACCTTTCTTGAAGAAAATGAAATATCAAGCGAGTTTAACAAGCATTTGAAATCCTAACTTTAAGGCTTGTACCAAAGTTGATATTTTGTTAACACATGTAAATTGTATGTTATGTATAGTTGTCTCATATATTATTTTTGTCTGTTACAGATACTTAATACATCATTTCAATGAAAGTGGTTTCAGCAATGGATTTCGTTTCGTTTCTATTTTGTGTTGTAAGTTTTTCAACATTATTTATTCATTCGGTGTACTCCTCTTGTTCAACGTGCCTATCGAGTGGTCAATGCCGTCCCCCAGACTGCTTCTGTTGCAGAGGAGAGCTTGGACTTGACATACGGCTATCTGAAGTCCCGCAAATAGTTTTCTTTACATTCGATGACGCATTGACGGACAGGGCGGCTGAATTTTACAATAGACTTTTCAATAATTCTCGTTTAAATCCTAACGGTTGTCCTATCTCCATGACAATGTTTATTTCACACACTGATACTCAGTATAATCACGTTACTGAGTTTCATCGACGTGGGATGGAGATAGCAGCACATAGCGTGACGCATAATCACATGAATCAAGAAAACTTTTATACAGAAGCCAAAAAACAAAAACAGAATTTGGCTAAGTACGGGAAATTACCCGAGAGTGACATAGTGGGTTGGAGAAGTCCATTTCTTGAACCAATAGGAGATCTACAACCAGAACAATTAAAGCAATTAGGTTATATGTACGACGCAACGTTAACCTTCAGTAAACGGAAGTTGAATGATTCAGCTCCCACCCCGTTTACTTTGGATTTCGGATGGCCATATGATTGCAAGGTTAAACCGTGCCCACGTGGTCGTCATCATGGATTCTGGGAAGTCCCGGTGGTGTCTTTATTGGATTATTTACATAGGTACGATTGTGTTTATGTTGATGGGTGCATGAATATACCACCAAACGAGGACTTGGCGTATAAATTTCTAATGGATAATTTTAATAGTTATTATGAAAGAGAAAAAATTCCGTTTGGAATCAATATGCATCCTTCGTGGTTTTACACACCTGATCGTCTAAACGCCATGGATAGGTTTATTACTGAACTTGTTTCCAGACCGGATGTGTTTATTTTATCAGTAAGAAAAACTCTTGAATGGCTAAAAGACCCCACGCCACTTTCAAGGATAAACTCCTTTCAACCTTGGCAATGCAAATCTAGAGCTGAACGTTTTAATGCGCCAGTAGCGCATCAGCAATTTAGACCAATGTCAGCCCGTTCTTTTGTTCCTCCACCTCCTCCTCAGTTCCAAAGCTCTCGTCAAAGCATTCAGTCAAGACAACCTCAAAATGAAATTAGATTTTCAACTCAGCAGCTTATGGAACAGCAAAGAAAGGAACTTCGGCGACAAAATGCCCTGGCAAGAAAATTAGAGGCAGAAAGACGGGCTTATAATGCCAATGCACAGTGGTCAGGAAGAGCACGTTCACCCCATATGCCAGGTACTTCCCTTATACAATCCTCAGACATAGAAGGACCACCAAAGATACCTAGTACACTGAAACCAAATGGTGATTCTGAGATTCTGTCTCATGCGTTCGGTCAGGTATTCTGGCGGCACACACAAGGAGAGAATGCTGCTGCCAACCAGGATCTACCTAGCCGCCGCCATTCAAAAAAATGGGGGCGTACTAGAATTCAGACGGCACGGCAGCGCAGACCAGTCAATAAGACACCAAAATTTGAATTTCAATACAAAATCCCGACAGAGTCAGGTAGAAACATTCAGGGACAAAGAAATTCCAATCGAACGATATCGCGGTCTCAACTCGACAGACAGCTTGGTATTCGTAAAACAGCAAATACTCAGAGATTGAATAGACCTAGCTCAAATTTGTTAGTAAGAAATGAAATAAATGTGGGGGAAAGTGTTGTAAAATCACCTCCTCGTGTGGTAAACAACCAACAACCTCTACCAAAACCTACAACTATGTCCATCTACGAAAAAATGGAACAACAAATTCTGTATGAACAAAAGTTGAAAAAACAGCAGGAACAATTGAAATTAGAGAGACAAATGCGTAAACCAGAAACATTAAATATTGATGAAGTTCAGCAAAGAAAATTAGAAGAACAAATGAAATTAGAAGTAGAAAGAAAAAAACAAAATGAATTAGAAATGAGAAATAGAGAACGAAAGAGTCGACAGGAATATCTTCAAAAACAAAGAGAAAGAAGAAGACAAAGACTTATAGAGCTGAGAAACAGGAGAAACAATAGAAAACCCGTTCAAACACAGGTGTCCAACACGGGGTCAAGAATAGGGGTGTCACCCCGTCGGTCGGGGGCGTTATCGCCTCGGAATTCTGCATCAGACTCAAGGTCCCAGAGAGGATCCAAATCTCTTTCACGTACAGCGGGGAGGAACCATCTTGAAAATCAGTTAGAGAATCAATGGAGCCGATTAATCGATCTTCTAATGGGTACTGCTCATTAGAAATGTGTAGCAAGTACTACGCCTGTCTTTCACTTCAAATCTTCAATATCCAATGACTTTTTCATAGGTGTTGAAAACAAAACGGACCCAATATGGTTATATAAGAGATTGGAATGATGGTGCATATCAGATAGAATAACATATTCCCGGACATCTTGATGGGGGTGATATCACGGCAAGTTCATCTAATTGTTATGTTTGTGTCACGATTAAAATACAAATACTTATGCATTTTTCATATTTTCTGACCCAAGTTAGCTAGGAGCACGGCATTGCATTTATGCAGGAATAAAATTTCATAAACATTTCATGTAGTGAATAGCATTATATATATATATTTATATATATGAGGGTGTGTGTATATGTCTTATATTTGCACATTTTTTATCGGTTTCGAATATCATGTGTTGCTTGTACTTAGTAGCATAGGTGGAAGTGCAGCAGATATGAAGGGTTTTATGGTATAAATATAATTATCCCTCTGCTTGTAAAAAAGGGATAAAATTGTCATGGCACGGTTCATTGCTTTTTTTCCGTAGAGGTCAAAGTTTGGTGACATATGCAACGAAAGAATATATAATTACATCCTTTGTATGGATATAAAATGAATTATCACAGAAATAACATGATTCACTATAGGTGAATGTATTACATATGTATCTCTGTTTATTTTTTACTTACAAATTATATGTCTAATTGGTATCGTGTGGTACTTGATTGCATTGGTATTAAGCAATTTATGATAATGCTTTAAATTATGTATGTACATAAAACATAAGATATATCACACTACCAAATGATGAAATTGATACTTTAAATTCTAATTAGCATTAACATTATGCAAGATGTAATCAATGCATATGTTTTTGTAGGATCGAATAATTGATTCTACAAAATAATAATCATATAACAATTGAACAAGATAGCAATACAGTAAGATAAGATAACATACAACAAATGTGAAATTAACGTCAGCAATTGTAATTACATTTGTTTCGAGTAAAACAGGAAATGTATATCATAAAACAACAAGAATATACAGTGTGTTACACGGAAGAATGGAAACAGGAGTAATCTAATTGCACTCAATATGTCGTCTTCTGTCCATCACTCTTCCCACACATGTCCTAAGTTGTACTTATGACGTTTATATTGCTTACTTTCCCAACTTTGCCAATGCACACATAAGATACGCATAGACATGTTATATACGGGCCTGGCGACCAACTGACGGATGGCTTGCCACCTAGACATGAGTGCACTATTGACTCACAACTAATTTATGGCGATAGTTTAATGCAGTATTTGCTCTCTAATTAATATCCCTGTACCAGTGCTTTTTTCTTCTCCTTTTTAACCATTAAGTCTTTTCTGTTGTCTCACTTTTTCGCCGTTCTTATTGGCTGACGATTGGCGTGTCGCGATCTCGTTCTGACATTTGACTGATGCATTTTTGTTTACGTTAATTTCTGCATGTTACAGTGTCTTTTGTGGAATATTTTGACGAGATGCAGCGTTGTTTAGCGTGACTTTCGCCCTGTGTCATAAAAGTAAGACCCCTTCTGTGATGTTTTCACTTACTTCTTTGTCTTCTTTTTATAATATATGTAGTTAGGTTACCTTGATATTCAAATAAGTTGGTTCATAACGTTATTGCTGTTAAAATTGTGTATCAAAACAATTAAAACCAGACAATGAGCTTATGATGTTTGTGAGATGAGAAAATTACCAGTCTTAAAATAAACGGCGTTGGTGATCTGATATCGAAGATATCTAATGCAGCAAATCCTTCCTATACTTTACGTAAGAGGAGAAATTCGAACAAAATCTAATTCAACATTCTGATAGTTTAATACTGTACTAATTTATCACTAACCTGATTTAATCACTGTCTAATTCAATTCGAGACCTATGCAACATTATCTTGTGTTTCTTTTTCCAAAAACGCGTGATTAACAAGATAAAGCATAAGGCTTAATTTAACGCATATATCTGCATTCCTGGTCCTAGTCAGCAGTATCCTAGTTCTTCACTGAGTTGTATCATCAGTTGGACCTTTGGTCGATATCATCAGTGGTTTAAATCATCACTAATCTTATTCAACACTTGGTATGATCGGCTTTGGCCAGACCTTCCAATTCATTGTAAGCTTTGTAATTATTCAATGATGGTACTTTATGTCTGGGTTACATCATCGGTTGGCAAGAGCAACTAAATATAGACCCTTCGCATCATCATTCGCCGGTGACGAGTCTCAGAAGGGCGAATCATCAATATGATGCAGTTCTTTCATTATATGACTCTGCTGTATCAGATTCTAAATTGATCTTGAAAAGTGATATCCACTTGCGTGTTGTTTGTAAAATCATTGCACTAATTCGTCTAAAACTGCAGAGGGAAAATTTATAAATGTAAATCTATTTTCTTTCCCAACATTTTGCTATGTTACATAAATCTGTAGCCCCTATTGCGTTATTTGTACCCCTTATTTAGACCTTCAAAACCTGCAGTGTTTTCCTGTTTCTTCATTGTCAGGTTATTTGATTGATGATGCGACACGCTGCCTCGTCTAATTTATGATATGACAGTGTGATACGTCTCAAGAATCGCTCCTGATTTTCCTCATTATTGTGGTGTAGACTTCGTGTTAACGGAGATTAGGCCCCTGGCATTTAAATAGGTATTTATTCACGTGTGTGTGTGTGTGCAATGCCTGTTTAAGTGGGAAACATATCATTTTTCAGCCACAGGTATCTGCATAAATACTTTTAACCAAAATGACTCAATATTTTAATATTAATTCTCGAAAAAAATGTCCGAGATCGGAAAAGATTGTGAAATTTCATTCCTGTAACAATGATACATTATAGACATACCAAAATAACGTAAAACTAATATGGGGAAACACAAGAGGCAATATTTAATATATAAGTCTGCTATCATATACATGTTTTTACATTTTCAGTAATTTTTCTTCAAATCTGACTCTCTATGGGCTAGGAGCTTAGTATCGCTAATGAACGCAAATTTGTAAGGATTCATCGTTTGTATGTTATTTAGAAATATTACGTTTATTTTTTTCTTAGACAATACATTCATTTTACAAGTGGACTGTACACGCTATTATGACTCATCAGTGTGGTCTAACAAAGTGACACGTTATCGGTTGAGTACTACTCACCAGGTGACAACAGATGCACGAAGAACGTGTACATGTTACAATATTCGTATAATTTATTAAAATGTCATAATGACTCAAATACATAAAGATAATGATAAATTGTATCTGATTAACTTTTCACAAAACGACTTAATGTATCTTCTAATTTTAATAATCTTATGCCTTGGTGACCTATACTTCCTTTAGGGTTATATATATTTCATGCTACCAAGACTTAAATGAACAGGCGCAAAAACTCCAAGTATGTTAAGAATTTGCCATACATTGATGTTCAGTTAATTGATTTATTGCATTACCTACACTGTGAAATTAATTAACAGTTTGGGCTGCAGATGACAACCGATTTACAGGTAAGACATCTTCATAATGTTCCGTACAAATTTAGATGCCAGTTATTTCATAAAAAGTATCATAAAATTGTCACCTTCAAATATTTAAGATTTACAAATGTCATTTGTACGGCGAAGTTTTTACGACACACGTGTCAATCATGTGTTCGTATTAACTAGAGAATAGTGATTAGTTTGTGCATATCGTGTACATTTCAACAGGTTATGAACAATGTTTAGTTCATCTATAAATGCTATTCTCGTGCAATCACGGGGGAAAATGGAATACAATTAAACCTGTATGTTCCGAATCAATCATACGACACGTGCTTTCTTATCACTGGAGCGGTACACATTGCTGTGTATATGGTGTAGATCAAAGACAATTATCAAAATGTCAGTTTCATATATTTTCTATATTTGCTTTAAAGGTCATGTCCGCTCACTTCGTGAATCTTCGGTTTTTTTCGTGAGATTTCAAAACTGCACCAGGAACAATGCTTTTAATTAATCGATCAATTCGTCTTACCTTTGATTAAGATTAATAGTTTTGACTCCACCTATGGCGACACCAAATCAATCATACTACGAGTTTGAAATGCACATTTGACAAGTATTTACATCATATAAGATTGTGCATATTTCGGGAAAGTGTGTACGATTCCATACTCCCTGCGTAATCTAACCAGCTCAATATAAGAAGGGCATAGATAGGATTTTATTCGCCCTTTGTCATTTTTTAATATCACATTAACAGTTGTCTTCAATCATAAATACCTAGTATATTTATATCGCCCAAGAAAAAATGATATCTTGTAGGTGTCTTTAAAGTCACGACAATTACAGAATTACATTTTAAAACAAATGAAAGTGTACATCGGGGTATTGAAATTGTCTCTGTTCTTCCTTATTATATTCAACTATTTAGCGTAATATATTGAAACATTACAATTATACAGACTTCCTACTAAACTATCTGTTTCATTCAAGTATAACTTGTCTGATTATGTAAAAAACACATCTCATTGATATTTGATGTTCCATATATTTACGGATGTTAGAAACAAATATGTTTTAAGACTTTGACATCTATAACATACTTGAAAGCAAAGGACTAAATAGATCGGTCTGTTACACGCTAAAATATATCAAACAAGTTCAGAATAGAAGAAATATCCGGCGATATACATACATTGTACATGTGAGTAAAAGATAATAAAGAAAAAAATGCCTCATATCCACTTATTGGAGGTATGGGTGTTGAAAAAAGAAACACGGGCTATACTATTATTGTCCATTATTAGAATATTTGTTAAAATAATCCAGCCCAATTGTAGATTAACTGAATTATTTTGCCTAAACCAAGATGAAATCTGCTTAGAATTGCATCAATCTTGCTGGCAATGTAGTTCTTTGGAATCGATTGGAAGAATGATTGTTTGTATGAACCATAACCTGCATACATGTATCAGGTTCCTTAACAGGTGAAG